ATATATATATATATACATATCTCGTCAGATATTTATGCTTTAGTGCTTTGTATAGGGCAAAGTCGAAGCCGAGATACATTTGCTCACAAAAGAGGAGGCAGAAAAAAATCCTGCTGGTTTTGGCAGAAATGAACCTGACCCACTGGATAAGCCAAAGTCAGTATAATAACATAACAATATCAATTCCTTTTTTTTTTATAACATTAATTTTTAATATTTTAAATTCTTTTGCAGTCGACCGGATGCATCATTCATGTGGTTCCTCAATCCACTAAAGTCCATCAAGTATATAGTTTGGCACAACTATAAGTGGGCTATACTGAAAGCCATAATTGCGATTGGATTAATCATACTTCTGCTTTTATTCTTTTATGCAATACCAGGTTATTCTGTGAAAAAGATTTTGGGAGCTTAAATGCTGTTCGCAATGTATAATTGTTGTTTTAGAAAACAATTGACGATTTAAAAATGTAATCACAAATCTATATTGTTACATTACACAATCGACGTTTTAAATTAGCGTTTTATTAGATTAATTCTTTAATTTGCTCTTAATATTGGCTTGTGAAAATTAGAATTCTTTTATAATGATAAAATAGAAGTTATATTTCAATAGAATTCAATAGAATTAAAAAATACATACAGGGTATTTCTGAGCAACTCATATAAAAATCGTAATTAAGAAATACCTTGTTTAAAATACCAAAACAAATAAAATATTTTTCGAAGAAATAGAAGTCATGTATCTTGCAGTTTCATGTTAGGGCATGCAAATGTTAGGGCATTAGAAATTATATATATTTTACGTATGAATGTTGTAGATAAATTATATGAAATACCGCTTTATGACCATTTTTTAAATTACTTCGTATTATTTATTTCGTTCCTGAAAAAATCTTGATAATTAATGTAATTTTTTTTATCCTTGATCAGTTTATAGTGGACCAAAATAACAAATTAATCAGAATAATTGCAAATTAGAACTACATTGTAAATAATTCAGATTACACACAGTGACCTTAAAAAAGTATATTAAAAAATGAGAAAAATATAGCAATTAGCAACATAGTCGCTTGTACAAAATAATATATTTTTACTCGTAAAATATTCTATATCATAAGGTGCGATTCATTTAACGCTGCAAATGCTTCGTTGAGCAATCAGAAAGAATTTTACGAATTGACCAATCAAAAAATATTTCGAAGCATTTGCAGCGTGAGTTGCAATCGTATCCATAGTGACGATTGTGTTTCGCGGGCGAAAACACAGGAAAATCATTCTTTATCATCAAATTGCTCATTATATATTAAGAAAAAAATATGTGTATAAAAAAAAGAGGTATAAATAAAATATCTGAGCAAGATGCAATATAATAAACTATTTTATTATTCTGCAGATAACAATGAAAATTTATTAGCTACAAGCGGTACGTCATTTTCCTCATTTGACGATTCCGTAGATTTATCATTCGCTACACTTATAGAAGATTCCGTCAGTCTTTCGTCATCACTTTCTTCATCTTCAGAAGACATATCTTCGGTTGGTGTACTGAAATTATCACCTTTATTCCTAGCTTGAATCCATCGTACTGTCTCAACATCTGCGTGATTTTCCCATTTTTCTAAAAAAAAAAAAAAAATTTATATTGTTTAAGAATATGTTATTTATAATTGTTTAAACAATATTTTTCACAGACAAATAATCTTGTCTGTGTATGATAAGAGAGAATAAAGTAATACTTTTATCAATGGTCCAATTCGGTGGATATATATACAAACAAATTTTTCCTTCTAATGTCATTCGTAACAATGAATTTGCTGCTCTATATGTATCCAATCTAGCTGCTCGTGCCGTCTTGAAATCTTTTTTAATAGCCCAACCATCGCAGATGTCCATGGCGGACCACGTGTCATCATTCTCCGGATGTGGAATTTTTAATAATTTCGGTAGATTCACTCTTTCGGCTAGAAATTGTACAACAGTATACGGTTCTCTGACTTGAGCAATCGGGAATGAACCCATTAGTATTTGTAATTCTTTGGGCACGGTCGAAGGAAAGACCAAACCGGGACAATCGCATAAACACACAGTCTTTGTAAGATAAATAGTCTGAAAATGCTTAGTATGACCAGGAGTACGAGATACGCTCACGACTTTCTTGCCTGTAAAATAAAATATTAGATAATGAAAATCAAATAACATTATTAAATATAGAACATAAAAATTTAAGCAATCGTATAATTAAATAATCTTGCTTTTTTACCCATCAATGCATTCATCAAAGAGGACTTTCCAACATTTGGCGTTCCAATACACCCAATAGTCAGAACTCCATTTTTGTATTTTTCGTGTTCAAAATAAGTGGTATCCTCCTTCTCAACTATTACATTATCCTTGTGATTTATGTCATCTAAATCGTATTCAGAATGCATTTCCTCTTGAATCTTCTCATACCAAGAACTTAGATCGACTTGATCCCCAACAATATCTTTACAAGCCTCCAGCAACTTCTGTGCTCCTTCCGCGGCCATTCTCAATTTTCCCTTGCGACGTCTTTTCTTTATACTCTCCTCCTTGTTATTTGTACTACTATGAAGATTGTAAGAGGGATACGATGTGAACATCAAAATGAGTAATTTTGGATACTGATTATGAAAATATTCTTTCCAAGCCACCACTAACGCTGGAGGTGCTAGATCAACTTTGTTTAATATCAAAATCATATCTTTCTTCAATTTCTTCGTCACATAGTCATATAAATACGGAGGAAACATTAAAACAGGGTATCTAATATCGACAATAATTAATAAAATATCTGACATTTCTAGAACCCTCCATAGTTGTCGCCAAGTTTCTAAATTCAATTCAAAGTAACTCGAACTATCTAATTCCTCCATACTGTCTAAGTAATCCTAAATACAAAGAATTATTAGTCAGTAAGTCATATTTGATAAGAATTTTGTTTAGTATAGAATTGTTATTTAATATAGAGAAATTACATACTTTAAAATATCTTTGTTCTCTCATCTCCAATTGTTCTTTTGTCATATTAAAATCCCATGGAGGTCGTTTTGGCATGTCAATCCCAGGCGGAAAGTAATTATCAGAAATTTCTTGATCTTTGAGACTTGCGGATTCGATACTTTTAAAGGCTCGTTCCTTGCGTTTTCGCAATTTTTCCTTGGACTCTTGAAAGAACTGTAATGCGTATTTATTCCTAGAAGATTTACTATCTCTTGGTTGTTCATTTATCTTCATCACTTGTCTCTTATCAATATTGTTTTCACTGCTTTCATCATCATCTGAGTTTACTGTTAATGAAAACATATTTTTGCAACAATAATTCTTCACAAATATTAATAAATTATTAATAAAATAATTACAAATTGCAATTATATATATATATATATATAAATTTTTAAAAA